AAATTCAGTTTCATGTTCATGTTTCCATATCCATTGAGTGTTCTTATGTAGGAGTGACCTAAGGTGTTTGGTCTGCTCTGCTAATGTTAGGTAGATATTTCCCCACAAAATTGATCATTCCCGGTAATCTTTGCACTCCTTCCTTATCTGTAGCAGGTGGGGTATTTGTAGTGGCTTTAACCCTTGCAGGATTGATTTGCAACCCTTTCTCATAGAGCTTTTCTCCCATTTATGTTATTCCTTTTGACCCTGAATTTGTATTTCTGTTGGTTCTGTTTCAAACCTGCTCTGTGAGTTCTTTCTAGTGCCTTTCTTACCTCAAGCCATGTTCTTCCATAGTATTTCCCCAAAATAATACATCATCAATATAAACCATAGTTCCATTAAGACCTTCAAAAATTTGTTGCACCTTTCTGTAAAATAATTCAGATGCAGAACACAGCCCAAAAGGAAGCCTACAAAAGCAATACCTTCCAAAGAGTGTATTGAAGGTACATAATCTAGTGCTAATTCTTTACTAAGGAAACTTGCCAAAACCCAGAAGAGGAATCCAAAGTGGAGAAATATTTACTTTCTGCCATGTTGCCAAAAAACTTTTCCCTGGCAGGAATAGGAAAATGCTCCTGGTTGATGTACCTGTTCATTTGCTTAGGATCCAGACACAGTCTCAAGAATCCATCTTTTTTTCTATTATGGACAATGAATGAACCCAAGCAGTCAGTTGCTCTAGTTTTTCTATTATGTCCATATTAACTAATTTAATTATCTAATTATCTAATTCCTTTTTCAATTTCTCCCTTAGTACAAGAGGGAACATTTCTGGGAGCATGTATGGTGGGAGTATTTGGTTCTCTTAATTCTATCTTGTACTCAGTTCACAGTTTCCCTATGCCTTGAAATACATCATAAAACTCTTCTTTTATGTTCTCGCTTTCTAGCCTTTCAGTGGCATCCATTCTCTTAATCAGACCTAGAGTTTTACACATTCCCAACCCAATAATTGGCACTAGCTTTCCTGGCACTATTACAGACTGAATTTTGACTATATTACCCTTGTGTCTAATATGCAGTGCACAAACACCCTTGTTTGCTTATTTGTTTGAGTCAAATAACTAAAAATAACTAAAACACACACAAACCCTAGGCACTTGGCCAAGTATTTGTAGGTATTTTTATAGGGACATGTTTCTCAGGAACAGGTCTTTTCTGTTGTTGCTCTCTTTAATGGTAAAAAACAGAATACAGAACAGTAAATAGCAGACAGTCTAGTCCCTGGCCTATGAGTAGTCTGGGTTGGAAAATTCCTTGAACTGACACCTGGTAATTTCCAAAAATAATATTATTTCAAACAATGATCTTTCCAGATGTGACATTTGGGTAGTATTGATTTGAAGAGGGGAAAAAGTAAATGAATGTTGAACGCCAGTAGCCTTAATATTTCCAAACAAACCCATTCGTCACTGAGATTCCATAGTTTAATAAGGAGCTGTTACTGGAAATAGTGAAGAGAATTTTCTTTCACTTTTTGTTTTAAAATTATCTATGCAGTCCACATTTTTAGAAGGGGATAAAATATATTGTAGTAAGGGTGCAGGTATGGCATTTTGGGATATACTTATTCCCCCTTCCGGAGATAAAATTTCCACAGTTCAATTTTTTTAAGCAAACATTCCAAATAAATTGGAAGTAGTATTTTTTTCTTTTATACCATTGAGACAGTATAAAAGAAGCTTTAATGTTGACGTAAAAGTAGCTTAGCTGGCAGAATGACAAGGACCTGGCTAGAGCAGGCCAGAGCCAGAAATGGGCTTTGGTGTCAATAAGAACCAAGCCAAGAAGAATTTTTATTTAAAAGTATTCATAGCATACCATAAATATACACAAATGTACATACCCCCCTGCCCTGAAGAGCTTACAGTCTAACAGCCTGGACCAAAACTCATTGAGGTGAAAAGAAAGATGCTTCTTTGCATTCAAACCATTTTGGATCAGACCCTAAAGTCCTTTTGCCAAGTCAGTGAACATGTAGAGAGCTTGTAAGTCTGAGTATTACACTAAATAAGCAAAACACAAGATGTCGCAGGTCAAAGGGTGAAATAGCAGATGGTGTGAGGGGTATTGATAACAACAAGATAAAGGAGGCATTGTAGTAGTAGTAGTATAAATTCACTATATTACAGCTGGGAAGAGAAGAGAAAATATTATTAGAATAAAAATAATCTACCATCAAACATGGCTAAAGAAATTGCTAACAAAAAATTAAGATGACGAAGGGATATAAGATTAAAGAATCAATATATTTCAACGTTCCTCTGAAGTAAAAGTCTTTCTTTAAGACTTATTCTGATTGTGCTTTACAATCTTTAGAACAAAGACAAAGTTTTCCCAACAATCACATACTGCTTTGTGGAGTAGTATTTAGTTTCTTCGTGTAATAGGGTTCCCACCTGTGATACAGGAAATAAAGCTTAGATGAATGATGCAGTAATGACATTTTCAGACTTTGGGCTTAAGTGTAAGAAGAGCTACATGGAACTTCTTAAATAAACTGAAGGTCTGACAAAGAAGTAGCAAATGTTGGATTAGACTGTGCCCTTATCTTCCATCCCTGCTCAGCCAAGTAAGACACACTCCACCAGAGCATGGTGCAAGTAGATCCTTTCTCTTCATCCTTCCTGAGCAAAACAACAGGGAATAAATAAGTTCTGCCCATTAGTATGATGCGTCTGAGATGTAATGCATCTGAGGGCTAACTTCTGAGGCAGCACTGGCATGGTAGGCACACCACACCTAGTGAGGCACGTTCCAAATGTACAATCCAGCCTATAATTTGTAACACTACTTTTCTATTACCCAAATAGAACAGTAACAGTACTTTTCTATTACCCAAATGTAAAATCTGTCTGCCTATTTCTTTATGAGTAGAGCTATTTTTTACCACAAACAAAACAGCTGCAGAGTAAAAACATCCTTATTTAGAGCCCAGCTCTGTTCTCATTGAAGTCAATGACAACATTCATATTGATATCAGTGAGCAAAAGAGAAAATTTCCATTTCCTTTCATGATCCATAATTGAATTATTTGACTTAGCACCAATTTCAATCCAGCAGCAGCAAATGTCATAGCTATCTGATGTCAGCTGACCTGAAATTCTCAAGAATCAGGTACCGCAATCACCAAAAAAACCCATGACTGGTAAGTTTTACAGAGATGCCAAGGGCTGAATTGGCAATGATGGATTAACTATGCTCTGCTCTTAGACTCAAGTTGGAAACAGACATCACCTTTCCTGGCCCTTGTGCTGCCATAAAAAATTTATGGCATGACAAAGGTAAAGCAAACAGACATCCATATCCCTTATCATGCTACAAATGCCCACAATTTCTGGGCATGACAAAGGTGGTAATAGAGTGTGCTGTTTTTTACTAGCAGACATCTCTTTGCATGTGGTGGGAGAATGCATTCACCCTGGCATTGCCTGCACTATGCAGTGACCCTGGGTAGGTGATCTGGAGGCTTGAGAGACCCAATCCTTGCATCTAGGGAATTCTTTAATGTGCCAGGGAAAGCCTGGGGTGCATCTCTGTAACCAGAGAAACTTTGGGCTTTCTCCGCTTAAGGATGCTCACCAGAGAGACCCCAGGTGTATCTCTGTAGCCAGGGAAATGCTGGCTTTCCCTGCCTAGGAAGACATGCCCCAAGATTCTCCAGGGTGCATCTCTATAAGCGGGAAAAGGCAGACAGATGCCCCAGGGGGTCCAATTCTGTGAGGAAGTTCCCAGCATATGCAAGATTGGGCTCCTCAAGCTCCAGAATAACATGTTGCCTGTTATCCTGCAGAATGAACAGGCAAGACAATGAGCAACATACATTCTCCCAATGAAGGAGACAAGTCCCAGTAGAGCTGATGCTGCTTCATTTGGCAGTGTCTGTTTCTACACTTAGTCTCCCTAGGATAGAGTTAACATGCTAAATGGGTAACTACAGACATTTTTACTGTGGCTTCCTGTTATTTCTGTCATTTTTATGAATTAAAAAAGGGTTTCAGCCTCACAGACTGTCAACATATCACTTGACACATCAACTGAATTGAGACATTTAAATACATGTGTTTCTGCCTTGCTATGACTTGCCTGCAACTCCCCCAACTAAGATGAAACAGGGTTTCATAAAGCAACTTGACCAAGAGAACAAGTTGATGAAATCAATGATGCCAGTTTGCCAGGAAGCTGTGATTGGGTGTAGAATGCTATATAACAAACTAGTTAAAGGTTACTAAGTGGCATGTAGGGATACAAAGTTCTTTGGGAAAATCTGATAACTTCTGTTAAACCAACTGAAATAGTTGGAAAAAATCTCCTTTGCAAGATTTTGGGTACAAACACCCTTCATCAGGTTGAAGAAGTGTCTGCAGTTGGCCTGTGCTCTTCCTGGATGGAACAGAATAGAATAGCTTTAATATTGTATTGTAATTATTATTTCTATTGATTTCAGTGGGCTTTGATTCAGTTTCAGAAAGGTACCTGCATTACTAAATGACTATTTGGAAAAAGTCAACCAGTTTCTTGATCACTCCAGGCTGAAAATTCATATATACCACTTAAGGGTACAGGTTGTAGCCACGTTGGTCTAAGGACACAGGCAGACAGGGTTCTTCAGGTCAATCTGATATCTTGTATTAGACCAATTAAAATAGTTGGAAAAATTCTTCTTTGCAAGTTTTTGGGTACAAACACTCTTCATCAGGCTGAGGAAGCATCTGCAGTTGGTCTGTGCTCTTCCTGAATGGAATAGAATAGAATAGCTTCAGATCAAAGAACTGGTCAACCTTTTCCACTTAGTCATTTAGTAGTGCAGGTACCTTTCTGAAGCTGAATCAAAGCCCACTAAAATCAATAGAAATAATAATTTCAATAGAATATCAGATCTTTTCAAAAGCAGTTGTATAAAAAGCATTCTGAAAACAATGATGTTTCTTAACTGCATTTGTTTTTTTCAGCCCCCTGTGATAAGACGGCCACCAACAGTTATTTGTTACATATGTGGCCGTGAGTATGGAACTCAATCTATTGCCATCCATGAGCCACAATGTCTGAAAAAGTGGCACAATGAGAATGACATGCTACCCAAACACCTACGAAGACCTGAACCCAAAAAGCCAGAAGTCAAATCCATACAAGGTAAGTGAAAAAATAAACAAGAGAGAGGATGAAAGTGGTAGAAGAAATTGGGTTTTAAGAATAAGTAAATGTTTTGTATGGGATTTTCTGCATCCAGTCAAAATGGGATCTATTTCTGGTGGAGATAATTTTGCTTTATGTTTAAACATTCTGTTTTCTTCTGCCACTGAGTCTGTAAGAGTTAAGTGTAGTCAGTACCTCTCAGGTAATGCCCTTTTTCTTTGTCAGAAGTTTCCAATCGAAAACCAGTCAAATTTCAATCTGCTCCATAACTACTGCATTCATTATAGTTACTTTGTGGATATTTTCTACCTTTTTGGATCTTTGGATTTTCTACCTTTTTGGATCTTTTAAAAAAGAGTAATGTGCCATTTTTATATGTCAATTAATTAAAACAGAGGCATCAAATTAATCTGGCCTTGCTGATTGGATGAGTGGCACAGGGCCGGTCCACAGGCTGAATCAGTACCATGGGCTCTCCCTCCCTCCTTCCCATGCCAGATCCAGTGCATGTGCCTGCACCAGGACCTATGCTGCACATGGTGCCTGGCCTATGTGCCCCACACCTCACTGGTTGAGGACTCATGTTGCATACAGTGCTTGTTCCAGCTGGTTTGGGACTATGTGCAGCATCGGTCCTGAACTGGCCAGAGGGTTGCAACTTGCAACATGAATCCTAGACTGGCCGGAACAGGTGCCCCATGCCTAGTCCCAGACCAGCCATGGTGGATGTCATGGGTCATGCAGATCTTGGACCCGGCATCTTGTTCAGTGCACCTCCAAGGCCCTGTGTGCAGGGCTGGTCCAACACGCACTATAAGGGTCAGCTCAGACACAGAAGCAGCACAAGGGACTGGGTGATAGGGATCCATGGGCCAAATCCAGCCCAAAACCCAGATCTTTGGCACCCCTCCGTTAAAACAAAATAACCTTCAGGCAATAGTAACTTTGGGACCGAACACTCAGCCAGATTTTCTTCTATAATGTTAGCCATAAAAACCTAAACTCTAGGAATTTCCAGTGATAACCAGTGTTGCTTCTGAGATACCAGAGTTTTAACCCTACTCTGTAATAACAAATATGAATGTCATTCAGGAGAAATGTTGATGGTTTAAAAGCAGCTACTATATACATTAGCACACAGCAATTTGCTGTTGACTAAATACACACACACACACACACACACACACACACACACACAAAACTACCATTCCTTCTGCAGTGAGACAATTACTTCAGTCTGCCTGCTCTCTCTGATCACTAGCAGCTTAACATAAAAACACATTCCATTGCAATGTATCAAAATATATCTACAGTGGAAAAAACTGCAAGATGTAAAACATTCTTTTCCTTTCTTTTCTTTAATAATGGAATTTTGGACCCAATTCTGCAAGGTCATTCTAAGTTCCCTTCCCTCCTTTACCTCCTTATAGCTATAAGAGCTGAGCGGGCCCAATACGTTCCAGAATTGGATCCTTATATTTACTTCAGAGTCTGTCCTTACTGCAGAGGACAGCAGCTCAAGTAGGACTTTATCGTGTTGCTGCTCTCAGCCACGTGGCCAACCCAGATATTGAGCATGTGAGTTATATCTGCAAGGGAAAATGTGCTTCCTGAGAAGGCATGTTCATGTCATTTCTCTTTTTATTGATCAGCTTTTTTATTGTGGGATACAGCTAAGAAAGAAAAAGATAAGAGGACTGGATCTGAAAGAGATTGGGTCTCCTAGGTTTCAAGGGATGTTCCAGGTTTTGTTGAAAGGTTGGTTGTCATCTTAGCCACTACCTGTTTTGGGGAAAGAGGAGAGGAAAAAAAAAAGCTTCTTCTCTGAAAGAGCAGCCCAACAGATGTCTCTCAGATATAAATATGAGTATTTTTTCATGCCTGGGAAAGCAGTCAGGCATGGCGTTGAGTACTTCCCATGAGGTGTTGTATGCCACTAGCTTCCCTAGAGGCACTTGGCAGCGTGGCCCTATGTCTTTGCTGGTGAAAGTCTAATCTATACCACATTTGAGCAAAAACTACATGCTGCCCCGCTTCCCGGTCTCCAGAAAATAATCTTCATTTTGTTCTTTTGAACTAAGATGTGCTCCAGTCACGAGGAGAACACTCACTGACCCCCAAACCACAAATGCGTACGGCATGCCTCTCTGCTTCACAACTCAGGGGAGGGGCTAGCCTTTCAGTGAATGGAACGAGCAGCATTTTAAGCCAGAAATGTGATCTGCTTACATAAAGCTTTTTATAACTTACATAAAGCTGTTTTGTAAAAATTTAAAGTGTCACTGGACAGAACCAGTGCATTGATCACACAGTGTTTTGTTTGTGCAGTTTACACACGCCTGTAACAAGAACCCGCCTCCTTTTTTTACTCGCTTTTTTATAGTCAATAAACTTTCCAAAGTACAGAAAGAACACATTCATTTCCTGCAAGCAAAAGGGATATTTGTCTCAGCCAAAAAAAGAAACACCACTTTGCTGCTCTTCTAACAAAAAGAACATTAGGAACAGACATATTAAGAGTTCTAAGGCTTATTGCGGTTATGAGACCCATTGGATATGAAATATATTAAAACTGTATGAACTCTTAATGAATAGATCCATATCATGCCAGTGATAGAAACCATGGAATATTTAAAAAATGCACAGAGCCTTTTTTTCAGTACAGTGACACTCACAGTTTGAAGACAAAATCTATTTAATGATAGCCATTGTCTATGTAATGCTATATGTATTATTTACGTTCTGGAAAGGCCAACATTTTTCCTGTTTCAAATCAAGCCTTTTTTTTCCATATTCTTCAAATGTAGTCATTAGGCAACCTAGCTTTGAAATGTGTTTAAAAAATAAGTTTTGAAAGATCATTTAGGAAATAAAGCTTTTATGGTATAATGGCAGGATTTAAAGCCTAAAGCTACACTCTTACTAAAGGTAAACTCCCATCAAAGGTAATGAAGGTAAAGTGGGGGCAGGGGTTATCTGAAAATTGCAGAATCAGTGACTTCAATGGGAATTTTACCTAAATAAGAACTTCAGGGTTTGTCCATATGAGGTTTGGGGTTTAATCTCACTTTTCTTCAAGTTTTTAGCAAAATATTTATAGATTTCAATTGGAGGAGAACTGGGGCCTTTGTCCAAAATGCTGAAGAGGGAACATGCTGAACTGAACTGCACTGAACTCTCTCCATACCCTTGGTTAGATTCTTATTATGCAGAGCTTGAAATAAGGCCAAAAAGTGAAATTCGCTGATAATATGTATGCAAAAGATGTTAACAATTAGTTAAGAATGCATGCCATAACACATAGTGCCATGTTTTCTTCTCATTTTAATACAATACAGAATGGTACTGTTTGTAGTTAACTTTATTTAACCCCTGGGACAATAAGCAGAGCCTTCTTTCTCTCTCTCTCTCTCTCTCTCTCTCTCTCTCTCTCTCCCCCCTCTTTTTCTCATTTCTTTCCTTTTCTTTTGCAAAAGCAATATGATTTGGTTAAAACCAAAAGGCTCAGGCAGGAGTTATTTCCTGAAAATGTTTTCCATGAAGAGCTGGATATGGCTCTCCAGAATGAAAGCTGATACTTTCTTTTTAATTTTCCAGCCCATGGTTTCTATGATCTTGATGCTTTAAATGAGGCTTCCTGGAACAGTGCCCAGAGCCAGTTAGTTCCCTGTGATATTTGTGGGCGTACCTTCCTACCAGACAGACTGATTGTCCACCAGCGCTCTTGTAAACCGAAACCAGCAAAGTAAAGTGCCCTTGCGCAGATGCACACGTCCCAGCCAAAGCATAAGAGGAATAAAATCCGGACAAAAAGAAGAGGACGGAGCCCCAGTGCACTGTCAAATCACATGATCCAAATATCTCCTATGTAAGATTAACAGTAGCCACTAGAATGTAGGTCAAATACAGCAATGTTTAGCACACCATTATAGAAATGTAGAATATCATTTTATTTCTGTGCTCTAAGAGGTAAAGCTTCAAATGCATACGTAAGGGAGTACTAAGGTGGCTTTAAATTAGTTGCATCCCCTCTTGATCCTGTGCTATTCTTCAGGGCTGGAAACACCAATTACAGAAGTCTCTCTAGGCTTGTCTATGGTCTCTAGTGTTTCCTGGAGTCTCTACAGCACTGTGTTTTGCAGCCCTAGCCTTTACATGCCTCTGACAACACTTTTTTCAGAACTAGCCAGGGTTTCTATGGTTGTCTTCCACCAAAGAAAGGTTACTCCAGAACTCCAGGAAGTTGTAGCATCCCTTTATGTTCTTCTGGCCTTTAGCCAGAACATTAGCCAGAACATGTTCTTCTGGCCGTTAGCACTGCATTGTGACTTTGCAGAGGTGCCCAAGTCAGCTAACAATGAGCTAGCTCAGGTACTGAAAATAGCATAGCACATTAGTGCCCTGGGCCAATATACAATACTCTGTTTTTACCCTGTTTCATCTAGCTCATTTGTAGCCAACTTAGGTACCTCTGCATGGCACTGGATGGTGCTATTGCCTTTTTGGCCTGGCAAGGAGAAAAAGAAATGACACATGGGTAAGTCTGCTTTTTGAAAGGTTCAGGTTCAGCATCCCCTCTTTTCCTTAACAGTCACATGACACTGCTTGGAAAGCAGTTGTGCCAAAAAGAGAGCAAAATGCGAGAGGCTTACTTGTCAACAATATACTGATGACATCTAACTATGTGTCTCATTCCCAAATGATGCCACTATCATTGATACTAAGCTATCTGAGTGCCTACAAGAGATCAGTGCTTGGATGAAGAGCTGATTCAAGCCAAATTCGGGCAAGGCCAAAGGAATGTGATCAGAACAGGAGAATGTTTTGACTATACCACTAGTTGAGATGTTCTCTCCACCTTCCACTTTAATGCAAAGCCTCAGGCTCTTTTCTGACTCTTCACTGGTTGTGTCCAGATGAGCGCAGCCACGTAGTATGTGGCACTGCAGACATGTCTGCAGCATCACATACCACACATTCGACTGTTTTCTGTGCTGCAACGGAGCAGTATGGAGGGTTGTTTTTCTGGGGGGAGGGTTGACCCCTGGATATCTAGGGGTCAAAAAAACCTGTGCAAAAAAAAAAAGTGGTTCACCTGTGCGCGCCACTCAAAATTGGGGCCTGGCCAGTCGGAGCTATGCTCCGACTGCCAGCCAGGCTCTGAGTGGCAGGATCGCCACTGCTGCAGCCTCAGAAGGCTCCCAGGACCCCAGGTGAGGTGGCTGGGGCTGACCCAGTGCTGTCCCCAGCCTCCCCTACCCCATCTGGGGCAATCTGCCATATGCCAGAGGGCACATGGCACAGGCATTCCCCAGGGACAATTAGTAGCGGCACGTGTGCCAGTGCTAGTTGTTCCCGGGGAACCAAAAGTCCATGCTTGTGTGAATGCAGCCACAATGATGACAGGAGGAACTGGCACCAGTAGCTAAACATGATTTCTTCTACCTCTACCTTGCTAGAAAATGTTGTCCCTTCCTCCTGACTGAAGACCTGGCCACATGATCCAGGCTTTTGTCATCACTAGGCTGGATTACTGTTATTCACTATATCTGCAGCTGAATGTGAAGACAATGCACTGGCCCCGGCTGGTACTGGAATTACCTGTATGCCTTATCCGTGGCATAATCTGCCACGAACACAGTGGGCCTGTGCTCAAGTCTGTCCCCTAGCTCCTAGTCATCTTTTAATTTCAATATAATGCCTTGGTTCTATGCTTCAAAGCCATTAGCCAGTCAGGCCCCTGCTACATCAAAGGTCACATTTTAATCTATGAACCACCAAACCAGATGTATTCCTCTGGGACAATTTACATCGGAAAGTCTAGGGCTTCCTTGCTATTGGCTTTATATGGAAGGCACCACGAAGATGGGTAACAGTATAAAAACCTAAGGACAGATATAGATAGAATTTAGAGATGACTCTTCATTCCAGAGTAAAACACTCAACAGTCCAATATATCATACATAGATGGCGGGGAAAAATCAGTGTCAAATATTGAGGGAGCCTACCCTGTAATAGTCAGTGATGCTGATTGGGATTTTGCCTTCTTGCTCCTTTCCTAGATGCGTTTCTTTTTAAGGTCTTGTTAGCCTCAGTTCTTAATCCAGAACTGGAACTAGCCTGTGGCCTGTAGAAGGATGTAACTCACCTGGCCAACACCTGGGCTGTCCAGCTGACAGCCCACTGGCTGAGCAGTTAACATGAAGCCTCTGGGCTCTGACCCAGCCACTGCTCTGGCTACCGGTCCCTCTCCTGGCTTCTCAGGCATGACCCTGCCCCAAGGGGTGGATTGACATGGTGCAGTGCAGCCTGCAGTGCTGGGGGTGCTGATGGCATAGTGCCACAAGGAAGCCTGAAAGGGGCTGAAAGTAAGGTAGAGCCCTGGGCCATGTGTGTAGTGCAGCAGGGTGATGGGAGGGTTGCCTGCCTGTGCACACAGTGCAGCAGGGATTGAGCACCCACTCACCTGCCTGTGTGCAGGGTGTGCAACCTCATGGGGGAGCATGGTATCTTTTAGCGCTGCTCCCACAGTATGCAGCTCCTGCAGGGTATGTGGTTCCCAGCCACTTTGAAGTGGGGCAGCCCTGGCCTACACAATCCCAGGTCTAAAAGTGCTAGTTAGTAGAAGAGCAGGTGAGTTCATATAATGTTGTGTGTGACTGTCCCCATCCTCCACAAGGAGACATGCACTGGTGGCTTGATCTTGTGCTTGTTGAATGCCATAAGAAAACTCCACTCTTACCCCCTTAACTTCAGTGCTTCAGGATCAGGCATTACCAGACTTTGTGTGACAACATCTGCTGTTTCATATCCAGAACCCATGAGACCCCATCCCTTCTCCAGGCATACTGCCCGATTCCACAGCATTTGACCTTGGAGTAGGAAGCCCTCACTTTTTTATGATCTCTTAGTTCTCAAAACCCAATAACTGAGCCACGTGAGTTCTGCCCTATATACTTGGGCGGTGGAATCTAGCCCTACACTGTGTACAAGTGTGACCACTTGAGAATGCCAGTATATGCACAAGGGTACACTTTCCTTTGGGAAGGTCTGGGGGTGTTTTTCTTTCTAAATCAGTATTTCAAAGAATGTTACAGAATAGTAAGTGCCAAAACACAGCAGTGAAAAGGTGAAACGAGAGCAAATAATATACATTTTAACAGGGTTGCAGAAGAGAACACTTCTTTTTTTCCCCTCTAAAGTGTTTTATTAAGTGGCCAGTGAGGTTATTTGAAATGTATAACAAAATCCAATGCATGCTGTTCAGCAATAATATGAACTTCCTGAACTGCTGAAAGAGACCAGATTCATGTAAGTTTTCACCTTCGGTTTTAATGCCATGAAGCTGCTTGTATATACCATGTGACAAATGGGGCTATTCCTAAAGCATTGGCACTTATTGTTGCATTTATGAAACTCAGGCAAATTACAGTTGATAGCTTTATGCACTTAGAAATGAACTATGGACCTCAACTACTTTTTTTTCCAAGCTCACAATTTGCCATATGAGCATAAGGAATAAATACAACTGTTCAGCTATTGAGGAAACACCTCTGGCCATAGCCCCAACAACAATTCACTTGAAATTGGAAAAGTTACCAGCATTCTTTAATAAAAATAATTTCCAAAGCAATCAAGTGCTCCACAACAGCCCTTTCATTTCTAGGAGAAGGATATAATTTTCTCTAATTATTATATTTCCAAAAATCAAAGGTTCAGTTTTTCCTCTGCAGTGAAAACCTAACAGACATGGCCTCTTAAGGATCTTCACTGCATGGGGAAATTCCTAGGTGACACTGAAGCTATTCCAACTTTCTTCCCTCTAGCTGAGATGAGTGATGTAGCCAGAGGAAAAAGGGCATATTTCCATGCCCAGTGATCTGTAAGTGCAAGAACAGCTCCTGAGAGCAGTTGGCAGCTATAATGAGGGGAGGAAGAAGTTTCCTAAAATCTGGGAGCACCCACAAGATATGGGTGAGGAAGTGGTAGTTGTTTAAGTGGACACAAATCAAATGCTTGTGAAAGATACCCTGTTAGCAGTGCTGGAGACTAAAGTCCTCAGTTTATCCATATGAGAGCTACGGCACTGGTAAAAGCATATCAGGTTCTGCTCTGTGATCTCAGCAATCTACCTCAAACCTGGCCATAGGTCCATGTCCAAATTAACTCAGTCACGGATCTCTCTAGTGTGACAACCAGCGAAGATGTTCATCTGTGCTGATTACAGCAGTGAATTCTGTGGTGACATTTGTCCAATGGGAACTGCATTAATAACCACCAGCCAGCCTCACACTAAGCTGTGTGATCAGCCTTTTCCATATTCCTTCGGCATTCATTATTCTGCTTCTTCCAGAAGAGAAAACATGGAATCAAGAAAGCAGAGTTTTAACATTCCATGCTTTTGGAACTATTGACTGTACCTTGGCTACTTGTCACCTTTTTTTATCACGCTCTTAGTTGGCTCATAGCTGGTCTCACATCCATCCTATTTTTCTGCTGGCACCACATACATGTTGCTGTCACCTCCACAGAGCCGAAAAACATTTTCCTGCATTTCTTGAACAAACAATGAAAATCCATCTAGTTTGCCATGAATGCTATTGATGGGATTTAAAATATAACCATGTAGTAATTATAAAAGAGCAGCAGCTAAAATTTTACGAATTCTCATGCAAAGTACAAACACCCTGCAAGAAGAGGAGTACTTCTTCAGGTCTGAAATAGTCATTGCACAGTAGGTCAATGTGGCAGTGCAGCTTTGGTGCCTGCCACTTTAAGGGCAGGAGCAGGCAGCCACCAGGTGCCTGATGAGGGTGGTCATTTTCAAACATAGGCCAGAGAGGCAGCAGTCTGTGTTCAGCAGCCAAAGAGCCAACGTCAGGCTGAGCTGTTCCTAGAACACCCTGGAGGTAAGCGCAGGAGCTGACAGGGTGGCTTGGAGGCTCCTGGTCCTAGGCGTGACTTGGAACTGCACCCTGCCAGGGATGGGTGACCTGATGGGTCTGTTCATGGTGGGATAGCCCCCAAGAAATGCCAGGCCAGTTACTGCCCCAGTTAAAGGTGGGGAAGGGTGCCTTATAACCTGAGCCCCCACAACATAGTGGGTTAGAAGGTAACCTGGTAAAGAGGTTGGCAGGGTTAAGGGGGTCCAGAGTGAGGCAAGGTGCCCAAAGCAAATGAGGGGCAAGGAGCCCAGAGTTTGGGAAAGGGCATGGAGCCTACTGAGAGGCTAGGAGCCCTGACTGTGTGGGGGGCAAGAAGTAGAGGCCCAGGCCGGAA